TCTTGTTGAGGATCTATTGGTCATTCATTATCATTACCAAGTATTTATATGTTTTCACTTGATCGATTGGAGCATTATCTACTTGCAGCTGTATTCGTAAAAGTGCGTTTTTTCTTATTGCCATGTAATTAGTTTTTTCATTATTTATCTTCAAGCCATATATTTTTCCTATGGTGTTTATTTTATTTAACATCAACTGTATATTATGTTTGTTGTCTGTTATTATTGCGGTGTCGTCGAAGTAAGGAATGTTATTTATCTGGAAAACGTTTACTTTGATTCCACACTCAGAGCCTTCCAGTGCCTCTGCAAACATGTTCTCCACATGGAGATTAAAGAGCATAGGAGACAAAATACACCTTTCTTGCACCTCTCTTAAAATTTTAAATTCTTGTGTGTTGATTGATTTGTTCAGTATGACTGTAGCATTTTTATCACTGCGCTCTTGATACCAAATTGTGTCTCACTGCTTAGATCTTCCGGCTTTCTAAACATCCTTGTGTGAAGGATACGAAGAAACATCTTAAGCAAATGGCTTATTAAATCATCGTATTGTAAAATCATCTGTTTCGTCGTCTTCATTTGCTTTTGTGGGTGCGTGCACATTATGTAAACTATAGTTAAAGAATTTTCCTATAAGACGTAGATAACATATTCTGTTATATTGTCATTTTTAACTACTTAGTATATTATATTGTATTATTATATTGAATAATGTTGCAGTGTATTGTATTGTATTTTTATATTAATAACAAAGTAAACAATGCATTTTACTGCAGAGTATGTGTAATTTTTTTTTGCATTCAACTCGTTTCATACATATATGAAAATAAAAATATACATTTCCATCAAAATATTGATTTAATCCTTCATTTACTATACTTCTATTAAAGGTCAAATGTTGTTTATATACAGCAAACGATGCACTATATATCTATATACCTAATTATGTTTCTCTTTCTGCTCTATCTTACCATTACACAGTGGCGGCTCGTGACATCTGCTATAGGGTGTGCTGCATGAACCACGGTCAATATAAAATAATAGAAATAGAATAACATACGAAAACAAAAACAATAAAATTAGCTTTAATACTAATTAATAGTAACTAATAACGACATGCTATAAAAATCTGATTAACTTACATTTATTGCATTTTTCTAAATTGGAAATTAATACGCCGGTCCTTTTTTGTCGCAAACTTTTCGATTACTTTATCGTTAAAGTTCGGTATTGAAGCGATGAACTTTTTTTCTATCGAGAGTGTGGAAAGGGCTGTTAATCTGTCTTCGCACATTGAATTTCTTAAAAATGTTTTGATCCGTTTTAAAGTTGAAAAACTACGTTCAGCTTCTGCTGTGGTCATTGGCGTAGTCACCAGAATTTGTATCAACTTTTTGGTTTCTGTTAATGTGTCCTCTAAATTATTAGAAATTATAAATTTTAGTAAAGGCACTGCACCTTTTAATGTTCTACACTCGATATTGGAATACAAAACTGACAGTTCTGTTCGCAAACGGTTTTTATCAAAGAAGTTATAAGCTGTACAAGTTAAATCCAATTCATTTTCAGGAAACTTATTATTATATTTTTCGAAATGTTCTGAAGATAAAAGTGTTGCGGCAACTAGATGATTTGTATATGCAAACCGTTCTTTTGCATTGTTTATAATAACATCACAAACTTCTAGACAGGCAATACGGTGATCCTGTTGGCTGTTATTTGGGCGTTTCCTTTTTTGGACACTAGGCGCCGCATTTAAATTTGAAGCTTGATGTATGATAGGGTCTATTTTATTTCGGACATTGTTAATACTTTGCTCAAAAACATGTATAGCTTTCTGTGCTTCGGTTGGGTCCATGTTCTTTTTTTGAAGATTATTGTACAAAACGTCAACATGTGGCATAATATAATGAAAAACAGTCAGCCAGAAAGTAAAATTTTGATCTTCCAGAATACGTCTAAGTCCTCTTGCTTCCTTGGAAGTAATAGCATTTGACTCTTCTTCTAGTTGCTCCATACACTCAATAATAAAGTCTCTATATTCGTAAACGACATTTACTGTACGAATATTGAAATTCCAGCGTGTAGGGATTGAACGAGGAATATTTTTTCCAACTATTTGATTTAAGACAGCTATTCTTTGAGGTGAATGACTAAAAAATCCAGGTATATCATGTAAATCTCCAAAAAATACGCGTACTTGGGAATTAATAGAACATGCTCTTGACATTATTAGATTCAATTGATGGGCGTAACAGTGCACAAAATGAGCAGTTTCATATTTTCTCTTAATTATTGTTTGCACTCCGCCATGTATCCCACTCATAACAGCTGCTCCGTCATAACTTTGTGCAATGAGCTTATTTTTGTTATTCTTTAATATTGGGTCTAAAACATTCAAAATTGTGTTAGCTAAGGTTTCAGCATCATGTTTTTCTGGAAGCAAAAAAGTCCAAAACCTTTCAACTGGAGCACCGTTTTTTACATAACGAAAAACAATGACCATTTGAAATTTCATAGAAACATCCGTTGTCTCATCAGCTATCACTGCTAAAAATGGGGCTTCATTGATTTCGTTTAAAATCTCCTCAGCGTATACTTCTAGCATGCAATCCAAAATATCATTTTGTATTGTTTTTGAGGTACCTTTGAAAATTGTCGCATTTGTAAGGTGTTCACTAAGTGTTTTATCAAGTTCAGCAGAAAAATTCACTAAACCACGAAAAATTCCAGGGTTATCTGATGTTTCAGATTCATCGTGTCCTCGTAAGGCGAGCTCAAAAGCCCCACAGAATTTTATACAGTCAATTATTTTTGACAAAACATACCTGTTTTTCGTCACCTCTTCATTGTGTTTTTGTATATTTATCCAATAAGCAGAGTCAAGTTGGGCCTGTATATTAAGTTTCCCAAATAATGCAAATCGCATTTCATTGTTCATATGAGTTTGCGTGTTTTCATGCTTCTTTATTTTTTCACTTAAATGCACTAGATCCCGCACTCCTGTCTCGCGCCACAATTTTTCCTCTTTATCTGCGCCGAATAATGCACACGGAAAACAGAAAAAAGCATTTTTTTCGGAACATCCACAAATCCACTAATTTCGTAGATACATGTCTTTATTAAATTTACGCGTATATGTTTTTCCACGGCTTTTACCGGACACTTCAATATTAAGATCAGGCATAGGACGGCCACGTTCTTTTATAATCAACTGTTGTTGATAGTGAAGTTTTTGAAATTTATTTACACCTAATTTAAATTGAAACTCCATTGTTTTAAACACGCTCGAACAAAACAAATTAAACAAAATTGTAACCTAAGAATTTCTAAACACGGCACAGATGCAACGGTCACGAATAGTGGTGGGTTGCGATTTCACGAACTGCTACTTTGTCACTGCTACAACGCTGTCACAGTCACAGTCCGCTACAGCTGGAATAATATAGCAGTGACATTCAGTCACGGTTTATTCTACTGTGACTGCACCACTTCGGTCCGGTGTACGCTACACAAGACGTTGCGCTGGTCCATAGATCGTATTTGCGACAGTGACAAGCCTTGTTGACGGAGCATTTTCAAAATGGAGCAGTCGCTCTCATATGGTGACTGTGACTATTATTTGCTATTTGTAACATAAGGAACGACGTGGTCGAGCGTGGGAAAATAGCACCGTTAAAAATCCTTAACAAGATATTTTCTAATTCATATTAAATTATCATAAGGTAAAAAACATGAATTGAATAAAATAAAATCAATATATCTACGTATTTCTTAAACTTTTAAAAGGAAAATCACAATAACCAAAGATAAGAATAAAACAGTGGTACAAAAATCAAAGCAGTACAAAAAATATTGCCTAAAATAATTTTTTTAATAAAGTAATATAGTAAAGTTTTATAATAAAGTCTATAATAATATTTTATAGTAAAGATTTATAATAAAGTAAAGTATAACATATACCTAATTATAAATAAAGTTTTGTTTTAACATAAAAATACAGAAACTAATAATGATAAAAACCTACTGACTACATACAACACTTTTATAATACAAACCTGTATAATAAACAAAAATACAGAAAACAACAAGCATGTCTTTTGCTTAAAAAATAAGATAAAATAAAATATATTTTGGAATATTCAAAGGTAGCAATAGTAGCAGGGTAGCAGTTAAGATTAAACTGCTCCAAAAAATCACTGCTTTTTGTCACCGTGACAATACTGGAGCAGTCACATTTTGTCACAGCTACACAAAAATCGCAGGTTGGCCCACCACTAGTCACGAATAACTGTCGTGAATTGCAGCTCGCAAACACATTTCCGAGGCCGTTAATCAGCCGATTGCCGAAGCACATCGGCTAAGATCGCCGTTTGCCTAATAAATGCATTTTACCGCTGCCAGTGTTTCGGTTATCGACGCGGCTTCACTGGAGCAGCAAATACGTAAAAAGATTGCTTCACTGGAGCACCAAATACGTAAAAAAATTATACGGTTTCACTAGAGGAGTAAATACGTAAAAAAAATAATATTAATCATCGTTGTTGGTGAATTATTATTAACAGTTTATGTTTAATATGATAATATGGCAGATTTGAAATAAAACTATATTAATTATTCTTTAATAATTAAGATTTGCTATGGTTGTTTGGTAGTTCTGCAGCTCAGCAGCACATAAAGAAAAGCCGCCACTGCCATTACATATGTAATGATTGTGCAGATCGACTCCCATATAAATTTGTAACAGCAAACGTGTGTATAGAAGTATAACTTCCACCGACAGTCCCACTGTACTGCCACACACGTTTTTACTGACTTATTGAATAAATTACTTAAACATCAAAAGAACTCATGTAATTATATAATGTCACTTTATTAGAAATCTGTTATGAAGAGATATTAAATAAGTTAAAATACAATACCGTATTAGTGGATTATTATTAAATAAACAATATCACATAGCTTTTACCACTTTCAAAACATAGCATACCCAAACTTTACGTCAAAAAGCTATTGGCTTTAAGACTTTCCGCTGAAAATTTCAAAGATCGCTGCGACAATTCACTGACTTCTTCGATCTGTCTGCATTCTTCATCAAGAGTATCTTTATCAATTAACACCTCACTCAAAACTTGCCTCAACTCGTATAAAGGGCAGTTTAATGTACATCCATTAACACTAATTTGTTTTATGTTATTTCCGTCTTTGCTGAACACTTTTACAAAATGTTGCCAATTTTCCTCATGAAGCTCCATATATATTGCACTCGCAAATTGTGGTGGGTAGGGTGGGTTGAATGCTCCAAAAGAGTTTAAAATTGAGGCGATGTTGAGATCATGACCACTATAAAATTGGTATTTTTGAGAGTAGCTGCAATTTTCCGACATATTTTCAAAATATTCTACGATATTATTTAAAAATCTTCCTGTTGCTAAAACAAATAGTATTATAATTATTATAGTATAAGTATGAATATTATTATAATTAAATATATCATGAACTTTAAAGTGTTATTGAGGCTTATTTCATTTAATTAAATCGCTACAACCTGTCTTATTTGTAAGTTTACTGATGACAATATAGTCATTTATAAAATATGTTTAAGCACATATTTAGTAAATACTTGTTTTAGATGGAAATTTTTTAGGATTCGTTAAAAATTTTTTAGATGACAGAATTTTCCAAGTTAAATCAAATCAGGAACTTTCAGAATACTATACATAGGACAATGGCATACCCCAAAGTTCTACGTTAAGCGCAACATTCTTGTTAGTTGCAATTAACTATATCGAGAACAGTATTCGTTCGAAACCTTGTTAAAGAAATACTATATAAAGATGATCTCGTAATCTATATTTCTCATAGGAATCTTAATACGGTATATGGCATTTTTCAACTTTCTATTAATTCCCTACAACAATGGTCTAAAACAACAGGACTGAATTTTTCTTTGGTTAAAACCAAAATGTGCTTTTCTCGAAAACATCAAATTGTTACAAATCTTTCAAAATTAACACTGTATGATCAAGTTTTAGTAAATGTCACAATACAGCTACTAAATATTTACAAATCCTTAATCCGCAGTAAATTCGATTAGGGGTCAATTGTATATAATTCAGCTAAGGACTCACCATTAAAAAAATCAGATATTGTACAAAATACCGCACTAAGACTAACTCTAGGAGCTTACAGAACCAGTCCAGTTGAAATTCTTTATGTCGAAGTAAATTAATCTCCACTTTCTATTAGAAGATTACGTCTCAGTTTATAATACGCAAGCAAGCTATCAACCAATCCAAACAACCCAGCATACCCCTATGCTTTCTCCACACATTGTCATTCTAATTACAATCAAAATCCTAATCCTCGACCATCATTTAGCAAAAGAATTAGCAGCTTCACATTTGCGGGTATTATGCATACTAATATTGATTATGCTTTCCCTTGGACTATACAAATTCCATATTGTAACACAGATCTGTCAACTTACACTAAGGACAATAACCCCTTCATTTTTTTTGCAATACTTCTACAATATTAAAAATAAATATTCGTCCTGTCGAGCCGTTTATACCGATCCATCAAAAACACCCAAATTGGAAGCAGTAGGATCCGCCATTGTCACAGATGGTTCTGTGCTCAAGTTTCTACTACCTAAGGAATACTCAATATATTCTGCTGAACTTTTTGCGATATCCAAGGCAGTACAACAAACTTAATCGACCTGAAGACATGACAGTAATATTCACAGATTCCATAACTGCAATCCAGGGAATTCAGAAAATACATCTGAATCATCCGATTTTAGAACGGATTAAAAAAGACCTTATGACTCTACAATGATATTTAGCAAACAAAATTATATACAGGATGACGGTATAAAAGTCGGAGATGCCACACTGGACAGAGTAGAGAAACTCGTGTATCTCGGCACTAATATCAATGAGAGCTGGGATCCAACCGCAGAAATTAAAAGCCGAATAGAACAAGCCCGAGCTGCCTTTGTAAAAATAAGAAAAGTACTTTGCAGTCACGATCCTAGCATTGACCTTAGAGTTCATATGACATCTTGCTACATTTTTCCTGTCCTGCTGTATGGAGTGGAAGCGTGGACTCTAACTGAGGCTTGACAGCCTTTAAGATGTGGGTATACAGACGACCACTGAAAATAAGCTGGGTCGACAGCGTTAGAAATGAGGAGGTCCTTAGACGGCTGAGCCAAACAACACAACTGGTCAATATAATAAAGAAACGCAAGCTGAAATACTTCGGTCACATTATGGGATACCCTGAAAAATATGATCTTTTACATCTGATCATTCAGGGAAAGATACAAGGTAATCGTGTGGTCCTGGTAGACGAAGAACATCATGGCTGAAAAATCTAAGGCAATGGTATGGAAAATCAACTACATCGTTATTTAGAGCTGCTGTCAATAAAGTCACGATAGCGAATATGGTAGCCAACATGATATCCAACGATCGATAACGATCATGGAACTAGAAGAAGAAAGAAGAAGACACTACAAAATAATTATACTACATTTTGTGTGCATACCATCTCATGTGGGGATACCAGGAAATGAGATAGTTGATCAAATGGCCAAAGATGCTTCTAAAATAGAGAGATCCGATGATAGAACTAACCGAATTCCTCACCTAGATATAAAAAAATGCATCAATGAGTACACAAAAACTTATGGTTACGAAGATGGCAACTCTTATCAAATATTAAATTGCGGTAAGCAATCCCAGATCTATCAGCAACAACACCAACTTTAGTAAAGCGAAGGAACCACGTTGTACTACATCGTATCCGAATAGGACATACCAGACTGACGCACGAACCTCCTAGAATATGCTACATCTGTGATACCAATATAACTGTAGGCCACATTGATATAGACTGTCCATTATATCAAATGGAAAGACAAGCTACTGGACTACCAAGCGATATAAAGTGCTGTTTAGACAGTGCGGATTGTGACAAATGTTTTTAAAGAAAACGAAATTGTATAATCCAATATAAGTGATAATTCAAGAAAAATTCTAATTTATAAAATAAACTTTGTAAAAACTTTATAGTTTATATTTTATATTAACCATTATAATATCATATAGTCTATATTGTACCACCGTTAATAACCTATGGTTAATGAGATTTATTCCTAATAAAACAATGCATATTACATTAATTTAATAATACAATCTATATTATAAAATTTCTATCGTCTATATCTTTACCAACCACCAATGAAGCCTCTGACTTGAGCAACGTGGTCTTTGTTAAGTATTTATGAACGAAAGTTTTTTATTATGTACTTTTGTTAGCTATTTTGTGCCAGATTATAGTGGTTGTATGCTTATTATGTTTGTTTGTAAAAAATCTTTTTTCTTTTCTACACATTTTGTTTATTTCCTGTCTAAGCCATTGCGTTTTCTCTTTTTTATATAATAGTGTCCGTTACTTTACTCCCTGCTTATGTTGCGGCGTTAAGTATGTTATTTTTAAAAAATTTTCAGCTTTGCTCGATGATATCGTTTTATATTTTAATATATCGTTTTTATAGAAGCTTGTCTTCTGGTTCCTCTAGCCTTCTCTCATCCATTTTTGCCTCTCCGGCCTCTTCGAACTTCTTCCATCGATCTCTATCCTGAGCAACATACTTCCAGTTTGTTCCGTTTATTCTTTTGATGTCGTCTACCCATCTCATCTGTGGTCTTCCTCTTGGTCGTCTGCCATTGTAAGGTCTCCAATGTTGTATTCTGGTATTTCAACGTTGGTCTTTTTGTCTAGCAGTGTGACCTGCAAAGCTCCATTTGAGTTTGATAGTTAAGTTGAGATATAAGCTTAAATAAAAATGAAAATATACGATAAAATACAAGATAATACAAACAAAAAATTAAACGTTATACCGTTAGATCAATTTGAGCTCTTTGTTCCAAGTAAATGGTTGAGGAAGTTTTTTGTGTTCCTCGGTATGCCCTCAATTCACATGTCTACACTATGTGTTGGATGATTTGATCTGAAGTAGCACAATCAAAGCTTGAGGCAGACCGTTTTCCGCATTTATGTAGTCACATACTGCATGTACCGTTATGCGTTTAAGGCTCTGCCATATGTTTCGTAACTGTTTGACGCCATAAGGCTTTTAGGCTGGTCAATAAGATTGGATACTTCAAGTGTAGCCTCATTCGTATATTCAAGTATATTCTGTGCGCCATCTAGAGGTAACATTGAAATACTCTGCTTTTAGCTGTTGGGCTGTTACTATTGGTGGTTTTCTAGATGGAAGGAAGTTTGATGCTAAACTCGGGATGTCTTCATAATTTGGAAGTTAAAAGTTACCATTTACTTTCAAATACTCGTTTATTAAGGCCTTTTGTCTTTGTTAAATAGAAGTTATATGGTTAAGGATTAGAAGCCATTATAGTGGAGTAGTCTAGATGCAACCGCTAATTATTTTTATTGCTATATTAAGCTGCGTATCCACTATCTTTATATGACAACTATTAAGCCAGACAGTTGTACAGTACTCTGCGACAAAGTAGAACAAACTTAGCACAGATATCCCTAGTGTATCCGCAGATGCACCTCAAACACTACCAGAGATTCTAAGTAAGGTTATCTCTAATAACTATATTTTGTGCAGTTATTTGTAGATGTCTTTTAAACCACAGGGTTCTGTCGTAGGCATCCTCTGGATATTTTGGGTAAAGTTGGTAGGGTAGTACTACGTTTCTCATTTTGACCTCTAATTCTTGGTTTGCGCTGACTCTGATTTTTGTTTGTTTTGGTACCGCTTTTTTGGGTGATCTGGAGATTTAACATAATACTAGGTTGTGGTCGCAGGCAAGGCATCTAACATTGACTATAACAAAGATCTTGGACCGCCTAAAAAGTTTCAAAAATTAATTATTATAATTCCTAGTAAATATTCAAATCAATGTTACTCACGCCATCTATCCCCTGAGTGCATCTAAATTTCCTCGACGATTGGAACTTTAGTTCCTAATAGCTCCAACCTACGCCTTAAAATCCGATTGTTCGTAAACTCCCCACCATTCATCTTTCTTTCACTTTTGAAGGTCAAACAGATAGAACAAAATTTTGTTTGAGTGGTCTCTTAACGAGATAAGCCAAAAAATTCCTTTTCTTTTATATAGTTTTAACTAAATATTTATTTTAGACCTTACCGGAAGCCCTAATAGTTGCCAGAACTATGTTTATTAGCCCGAGGATATATTATGATTTATGGTATGTGTTCTGGACCAGAATTATAGTGAGCATTACATAAAACTTTCAGCAATGCGTAGAATTGCTGTCGTTTGGTATAAGTGCCTTTTATGGAATACCCCATTTGTTTAGCCGCAAAGTCCTATATATTTTTATGGTGGATATTATGTTACTGTTGCCGATAGATTCAACGTTCTGACAGCCTGAGTAACTAGTTAGCAAAAATTATATCCTTTCTTCAAGCCTCACAAGCATTTGGATAATTCAGGTTGTACTAATTTTATATTTTTTTTATTGAACAGTGAAAATTTGCTATGAACTAAATAACAGTGAAGTGACTTATTATTGATCTTTTGATTGGTACAGAATCTCTATACAAATATATTATTTATGTAAATGAATTTCGAATTTTGGCTATGTCTGACAGTGTTATTTAGATCAAAGTTACTCTATCTAGATAATACAGAAATTAAACAAATATCTTCGTACAAATACCTTGGAGCATGGATCACAGAAGATACTGATCAGACAAAAGAAATAAGATGCCGCATTGAAATTGCGCGGTCAACTTTTAATAGAATGAGAAAACTTTTTGTAATCGCGATATCAATATATCGCTCCGGATAAGAATGCTTCGATGTTATATTTTCTCTACCCTTTTGTATGGGTTGAAGCTTGGACACTTAAAAATCCAACATTAAAAACCTAGAAGCATTCGAAATGTGGTTACCGACGCATTTTGAAAATATCATGGATGGATCGCAAAACAAACGAACAAGTTCTCGAACAACTAGGAAAACAATGCGAAGTTTTAAATTCCATAAAGATCAGGAAATTGGAATACTTGGGGCACATCATGAGAGGTGAAAAGTACGAACTACTAAGGAATATAATGCAGGGTAAAATCAAAGGTAGAAGAAGCGTAGGATGACGTAAAATCTCGTGCTACGCAATCTCCGTGAGTGGTTTGGATGTAGTTCAATTGAACTATTCAGCGAGTAACCAATAAAATTATAATTGCCAGAATGATTTCCAATCTCCGATAGAGTGAACTTGAAGAAGAAGAAGAAGGGACAGTGGGGATGCAGGGTAGATCGAGTTGCTCTGTGCTTACTACAACTGATCCAAAGCCCAAATAAAATGTAGAGAGTGATTGGCAAATCAACCTACCAATCGTAAAAATGAATTTTGTTCAAAGAAACAATGTGAAACTTTCAAACCGGATTACTAATATAAAAACAATTACGGAAAAAAATAAAGACAAGATCCAGAAATTAAATAAAAAAGATATTACGAGCTTATAAATAGTTAGATAATATATCGATATATTTGAAAATAAAGGTTTTTAGCACAATATATGCTTCCAATATAGAGACACAACTGGACTTTCGATATGATGTATCGATAATATAACAAGATGATCACCCTGATTGCAATTACCAACATCATACCCAACTATACCTTAAAAATATAAACAAATGAACAAAAATCTGTAAATAGCACTTACTAAATCTTTTCATCTGGTATGTTCTGGAGTAGGATTCAAAAAACCATCCTGCAATAGACGTAATAGGTTCAGGATAGACAGCTTTAGCCCAATCTGGAAGAGGAAGTCCTACGTCAACTTGAATTTTAAAATCATCAAAAATAGGATGAATGTCGTTGAAACTTTTTATGTTTAATCCAGAGTATTTGTTTATGTATTTGTATACTGCTGCATATTTTGCATCTATTGATTGTGATAAATCATCATCTAAAATAGTAGCCCTAAGTACATGAAAGTTTGGGCAAGCGGGTTCCCCAGAAAAATCATCTCTGCTGATGGGATGAATAGGAATTGGTTGCCAGTTTACATTTCTACGCCATACCTGCTCCTCAAATGCTGGAAAGAGGGAATAAACATTGCATTGTGCTGACATGTGGGTCCTTTCAACATCTGTTGTGTAAGCATAGAAACTGGATCCATTATATTTATGTGGAAGGAAATTTGAATATCTTTTTCGTGTGTATTGACCCAGTTCATAATGTTGACGTTTGCCTTCCTATAAAATAATATTTTAAATAATAAAAGTAAATGCAAAATGCTTTTTAAACTTTAAGCCTCAGGCTTAATTTTGTAAAACAAATAAATCTCTCTTAATTAATTTAATCTCAGAGCTATTTTTTATTGTTAATTTTTCTATGTGACTTAAGTAATATCTATACTATTGTCCTTGAGGGAAATATGGACAATTGGAAAATAAATGAAAATAAATAAATTTGTGATAATAATTTTCCAAACAATTTTTAAAATTTATTTTTATTTATATATATTTAATATTTATTTTTAAATTATTAAATCAAATAAATTTATAATTAAACCAAGCATAACCTATGCTTTAATTGATTACCATTTAACTGGGAATAAGCCACAATTAAAGATAAAAATACGTTTATTGACGTTTCAATTTCCACTTCGGAAATCGTTCTCAAAATACAAACAGTAAATTAAACAAATTTTGTTTTTTGTTACATAGTGAAAAATTCTTCTAATAATTTAATTTTATCTGACTCATTTATATTGACAATTCAGAATACATTATGCATTTTATAGTAGACGACTTTAAAATGATATTGCCAATATTGTTGAGTTGCGCTCCTGAGACGACTTTACTTATAAGATAGTTCATTCGATTACATGAAATCAACTTTAACTTGAGAATATTCGTCAGAAAAAAATCATAGCATATAATTCGTCTTTAAAAAGACAAACACATGACATGATGACAGTAAAATTTTCCTGTTAGTTATTCCATAGTAAATTATGAGGGAAAAACCAGGAAAAAAACCTCATAATACTATCCCGACATGGTAAGTATTTGTTCGTGCATTTAGTTTACCTTCAATAAACACCAAAATTCTGATTTTATATGTTTCGTTATTTAAAAAACATAAATGATGTATCCTCTATATGTTACTGACTTACTAATACTGGTATTTTCTTATTAATAACTTCCTCTTTCAATATTGGTAACCAGATCCTACTACATTCTGCCGAGGAATTTGCGACACAATTGGCCTCATTTAGCATAATTAAAGCCGCTTCTTTGATTTTTCTTTTTTTACCATCCGTCTCTTTTAGGACTGCATTTGAATTATTCCATTGAACCCTATGTTCATTATCCCGTGCGTGTTTACATATTTGAGATCTATCAAATTCTCTAATCGCATTTACAAGGTATTTTATAAATGCAATTCTTTGTCTTTCTTGTTCATTGTTAGGTTTGGTTTTGGACAAAATAGATCTCAACGTGTTTGTTGTTTTGAATGTTGTTGAAATGTTGAATTTATTGCCTATCCTTTTAAGTTTTTCTGATAATCCTTTTATGTACGGTATTGTTATTTTCCTAGTATTATTTCTTGTGCATGCTGTAGGATCTCGTTCTAAAATGTTCTGTTCTATTTTATCGATTGTTGAAAATTCCTTATTTATAAACGATAAAGGATAATCATGGAATGGAAATAAACTAGAGCCCATTGCTAGACCAAAATTTTGTTTATAGAATTCATTATTTAGTTGAAAATATGTATTATCAGTACATAATGTTAATAACTCCATCATGGCCGATATGTTTAGTCTGGTTCTAGTTGCCAATGAATCATCACTCTCTAATTTTGTCTTGACTATACTTAAAGTCTTATTTAATGGCACATTCGTAAATAAACTATTTATGTCAAAACTTACCAAAGTATTATTTGAATTAAATTCAATACTTGATAATTTATTTAAAAAATGTTGTGTATTTTTTATGAATGTGTCATTTTTCTTTGTAAATGATTTTAAAATATTTAATAAAAATTTTGATAGTTCACTACAAGGAGAATTCATGGTACTACAAATGGGTCTAAGTGGTATATTCGTTTTATGAATTTTCGGTACTTCATAATATGCTTTAATATGTATAAATGAACTTAAAAATGTTTTAATCTTCATACACAAATTATCAATACTTATTATGACTTGTACTCAAAAAAAAATCTCCTAATTAAATTTTATATCTACTAGAAAAGCGAATAGCTGAACAAAATGCTGAAAGAATCGAATTAGATATGATATTGTCATAAGTGTGGTTGAAAGTCATTTTTATTGTATGTCAGACTGACTTTTTACAACATTTTTCTGTTGGCTACTTTTCTCGTCCGACTGTGCTCTGACCATCTACTACTTGTATTCTTGGATGCTTTACACACCCCTGTTCTCCTCAGCTGGTGAAAGTCTCTCATACACACAAAAGTCGCCACATTTTATTTAAAACACCTCCTAGCTAAACACCTATCTCACAGAACACAATCTCTTAATAATCGAAAGGTTTTTTACTTTATCGATTAGCACTACATACATGCTACAACTGTTTTCCTTACTACGCGATATAAATGCCGCTTTGAACTGCTACTGCACACCTTTGGCTTGTTCCACAGACACATTAAATACTATAAACAATTTTTATTTACAATCAACTCTTTACTCTCCTCACTTTTACTGTAAGCTATAGAACAACAAAACAAACAGCTTCTTCAGAACTTCAGAAGCAGGATTAAGAGCTGGATACGGAACAAATGATCATTTACAAACCATTAAGTCGTTGATTGAAAAAACTATTGAATATAATAGACCCCTGATACTTGTCTTTGTTGACTTTGAAAAAGCATTTGATACGGTCAATCAAAGTGAAATGCTCCAAGCTCTAACACAATGTAGAATAGATCACCGATACATTTTTCTCATCAGATACATCTATTAACATGCTACAGCCTGTGTAAGACTTAATGAAGATACTGGGACTTTTTGTATTGAAAAAAGCGTTCGGAAAAAAGACAACATGTCTCCTAAATTATTTACAACTTTGCTAGAATACGCTTGTAAAACAATAGATTAGAACGAAAAGGGCATCAATGTAGATGGAAAATTTTTAAATAACCTTAAATTTGCAGATGATATCGTTTCAATTGCAGACAGATTTAATCAGGCACAGATAATGCTATAAGAACTCCATACTGCCACAAAGAGAGTTAGTCTTAAAATAAATTTTTCAAAAACACAATTTATGACAAATTTAGTCCACAACAAAAAAATCTCAATAGAAGACAAATATATTGAGCCAGTTGATTCTATAAATACTTGGGCCATGAGATCAGAATAAGTCAAGACAACCAAACAATCGAGCTGAAAAGAAGAATAAACCTCGGTTGGGCTGCATTTGGAAGGATGAAGGATATTTTTAGGTCTAAGATTCCAATGTGTCTGATAAGAAAAGTATTTAATCAATGTATTTTTCCAGTGATAACCTACGATTCAGAAACCCTAACACTCACAAAAACAACAGTGAGTAAACTACAAGTTGCGGAAAGAGCAATGGAGAGAATTATGTTAGGGATTTCTCTACTTGATAGAATACCCAATGCTACTATACGCAAAAGATCAGGAGTAGCAGACGTTATTGAAAGGATAACAACACTAAAGTGGAACTAGGCAGGTCATGTAGCAAGATCATTGATGACCGGTGGACAAAAAGAATTTTGGAATGGAGACCCCGAATGCAATCTTACAGAAATAGAGGTCGACCCCCAACGAGATGGACAGATGACATAAAAAGTGTGACTACAAATTGGATTCAGATGGCGCAAAATCGGACTAAGTGGAAAAGCATGCGAGAGGCCTATGTTCAGCAGTGGACGTTAGAGGCAAGTTGATGATGATGATGATCGATAACTAGTAACAAATTACTGCGTTAATGATCTTGCATGCATTGACGAAATGTTAATTGGATTTAGAAGAAGGTGCAAATTTAAAATACATGTGCCCAACAAACCCAATAAATATGGTGTAAAAGTAATAGCTCTTTATGATGCTCGAACCTTTTATTTATATAATAAGTATATACACTGGTAGAGGTAGTGATGGAAAAGGATTATCAGATCAAGAAAAAAATTTATTCCTACCCAATCAATCAATCATTCCTACCCAATTAGTACTTCGACTCGCAAAGCCAATTTTTGGATGCTGTAGAAATATTATGGCAAATAATTAATTCATCTCTATCCAGGTTGTTGAAGAGTTCTTTTCTAGAAAATTTATGTATGTGTGAACACTCAAAAAAAATATACGAGGAATTCCTGATAAATTTTTGCGAAATAAAACTCGTGTAGATCAATCGTCAATCAAAGGATTTAAAAGAAACATGACACATGATACGAAAACCTAGATGATCCAATGCTACAACACAAATAAAAATTTGGATCTTTTTCTACGTTTCAAAGAACAAAAAGATGGCCTATGGCTATTGTTTTTGAGTTGCTTGAAGTGTTTTGTTCATTTGTATATCAAAGAATTAGGTACTGATCTAATAACACCGCATATAAGACGACGATTAACTAACTATCATTTGCTGAGGGAGTTGAGATCAATAATTGGTTCAATTTTAAAAGAACCAATCTCAGAAGTGACGATTTCTGATAAACGATATATCATATTATTATATATCATATTTCTGATGACGATAAAAAACTTCTGAGACTTGCAAGTTTTGTATGGTATCTATTTGTTTGGAATGTCCAGAAAATTTTGTGTTTGTTAAATGTTATATTTTGTATTTTAATCATAATATATGACTAATGCGTACATATCTAAGTTAAAGTAATGCGTACATGTTGTTCAGCTTTTTGATTGTTTAGCTATTTTTTTATAAAATCTATTGAGTCAAAGTATGATTATTTCAATAAGTATTAGTCTTATATAAGTCTATTTTGTTTAAAGTTAAAACTGTTTTTAAATACTGTAATAATGTTTTTATTAAAACTATTAAAACTAGTTTCATTTTTTGTATGACAAAATTAATGTTGCTATCGGGTTTTTATTATTATAAAACGTTGGGGTATGGTTAGACCCCACGCAACCGTTTATGCAGAGATTATACGACGTTACCAGTTGTGGGTAAGTTACTTTAACTATTTACTGAATGCTAGACACAATTCTGGTAAACTCGTTTCGATCTTGTCATTTTCT